TGACACAGTGGTAGCAGCAATGGGCCTCAAACATAATTACAATTGTGAGGATAGCGTTGCTAGAGGGAGATAGAGTATGTCTGTTTATGTCCTGCCCCTAGGCCAGCAGTTCAAACTTACCATCCATTCCTTGGAAACCCTATATAGGGTCATTATCAGCTGTAACTGACTCAGCAGCACTTAATAACAGACACACACACACAAACACATATTTATATATGAAGTCCTGGTGTGTCACCATAGGATAAGCATTCGACTTCAAGGTTGGTTGTTTTTAAGTGCTGTTGAGTTGGTTCTGACTTACAGCAACCCGGTATAGGGTTTCCAAGGAGCAGGTGGTGAGTTTGAACTGCCGAACTTGCCGTTCAAATCAATCTTGTGGTCAAGTGCTTATCCTACTGTGCTACATCAGGACTCCATATACATATAATTTTGAAAGGGCAGCTTGAGAGGACAAAGTCAAGTATTATAATGAAATGTACAAAGACCTGGAGTTAAAAAACCAAAAGGGAAGAATATACTTAACATTTATCAAGCTGAGGGAACTGAAGGAAAATTCAAGTTTTGATTTGAAATTTTAATGGATTCTGTGGACAACATACTGAATGATGTGAAAAGCATCAAAAGAAGATTGAAGGAACATGCAGAGGCACTGTACCAAAATGAAACTGTTGGTGTTAACCATTTCAAGAGGTAGCATATGACCAAGAGTCAATGATACTGAAAGAAGAACTCCAATGAGCACTGAAGGTATTGGCAAAGAACAAGGCACCAGGAAGATGGAATACAAAATGGAAGTATTTCAACAAATTGATGCAGCACTGGAGGTACTCACTCATCTATGCTAAGAAATTTGGACATCAGCTGCCTGGCCAACTGATTGGTAGAGATTCATATTTGTGCCAATTCCAAAGAGAGGTGACCCAACAGAATGCAGAAATCATCGGACAATATGATTAATATCGCATGCAAGTAAAATTTTGCTAAAGGTAACATTACATTTACAGGTAACTGTTAGAGATTCAGGCTGGATTTGGATAGGGATGTGGAACGAGAGATGCCATTGCTGATGTAAGTTGGATCTTGTCTGAAAGCAGAGAACACCAGAAAGATATTTGCCTATGCTTTCTTTATTGACTATGAAAGGCTTTCAGTTGTGTGGATCATGACAAGATATGGACAACATTGCAGAAGTAACGTATTCCAGAACACTTAAATGTGCTCATAAAGAACTTGGACAGAAAGCAAGACCAGAACATGGGGACACTGAATGGTTTAAAATTAGGTAAGGTGTGCACCAGGGTTGCATTCTTTCACCATAGGTATTCAGTCTGTACGCTGATCAAATAATTTGAGAAGCAGGATTATATGAAGAAAAATGTGGCATCAGGATTGGAGAAGAATTGTTAATAATGTGTGATATGGAGATGATACAACTTTACTTGCTGAAAGTGAAGAACTCTGAAAATATTGATGAAGATTGAAGACCACAGCTTTCAGTATGAGTTATAACCTCAATGTAAAAAAAAGAAAAATCCTCACCACTAGACCAATACATAACATCATGATAAAAGGAGATTAAGCTTGAAGTTGTCAGAGACTTCGTTTTGTTGCTTGGAGTCTTCCATCAACACTCAAGGAAGCGGCAGTCAAGAAATCAAACAACTTACTGCATTGGGCAAATATACTGCGTAAGACCTCTTGAAAGTGTTGAAGAGCAAAGATGTCAGTTTTTGAGGACTAAGGTGTGCCTGACCAAAGCCATAGAATTTTCAGTAACCTCGTTAGCATGGGAAAGTTGGACAGTGAATAAAGAAGATCGTAGAAGAATTGATTGATTTGAATTACGTGTTTGAGGAGAATATTAAGAGTACCATGAACCACCAAAAGAACAAACAGAACTGTGTTGGAAGAATGCTCCTTAGAAGCCAGGATGGCAAGACTTCATCTCTCATACGTTGGACATATTATCAGAAGGGACCATTCCCTGGAGAAGGACTTCATGCTTGATAAAGTGGAGGGTCAGTGAAAAAGAGGAAGACTCCCAATGAGCTGGATTGTCACAGAGGCAGTAGCAATGGGCTCAAGCATAGCAATGATTGTGAGATTGCCTAAGGACCGGGTAGTATTTTGTTCTGTTGTGCATAAAGGTCCTTATGAGTTTCTACTGACTTGATGACATCTAACAACAACAACAACAACAAGGCTGTCATTTATTGCAGAGATCTTTATGTATGACACACTGTGTGATCTCCATCTCAATTTTCTTTTCATCAGTCAGGTATCTTTAAAGAAGTTAAAAAATTATTTTGAAAAGACAGTGTTTTATAAAATATGTACTCATATATGAGGATCTTTTTTCCCTGCACTTTTTTTTTTTTTTTAAAGAGTAAGATACTGCAGCCTTTAATATAGATTAAATCACAACAAAGAAAACAAAAAGTCTTCATAATTGGACCAGTAAGCAGCATCATGATAAATAGAGAAAACATTAAAGTTGGCAGGGATTTTAACATGCTTGGATCCTTAATTTTCCATATTTTCAGGTGAAAAGCTTGCGCCATTATAAATTTCTTATTAAAATAATAGCTAGTTCCCCATTCTCTGCTTTATCACTTTTCACCTGTAGAACTTCATATGCTATTATATGTATTTTACTTGTTTACTATTTATTTCTTCCTGTTAGAATGTAGTTTTGTTAAGTTTTAGATTCTTTTGTTCATTGCTGTATCCCAAGCTGAATTGATACTGTGATTAATGGTGATTGTATTGTCCAAATAACTTGCAAAAATTTACATACATGATGCGTCTTCAAAAAGTTCATACAAAAATCCCATTATCTTTTCATTCCTCTTTTCCATGATTGGTTAAAACCCCTCATATATTATTTCATCTGTTAATTGGGTTTTTTTTTTTTTTTTTTAACATTGGGTGTTTAAATCTGCCACAATGATTGTGGAACTATCAGGTTATTTTTTATATTCTGTAGATCTTTGCTCTACATAATTTTAAATTCTTCTGGATTGTGTTTTCCTGGTGAGTTAATCTCATCATTAAATAATTACATTCAGTTTTCCTTTCCTTTTTTGTCTGCTGTTGGATTAATCAAAATGTCCTTAGTTTTTCTTCTTTGATTGCTTTAAAGATTTATTTAAAATTTAAGCATAACTACTTTACTAAGTAAGGATCCCTCATAGCATAGTGGATTGCAAACTGGGCTGCTCATTTTACTGTCAGCAGTTTAAATCTACCAGTTGCTCTGAGGGAGAAAGATGAGGGTTTCTGCTGCCGTAAAGATTTACAGCTTCGGTAATCCTATTTATGAGTTGGAATCAACACAGTGGCACACAACCACCACCACCACTTTACTAACTAATTTATAAAGATATTATTTCCCCTTTTCCATGAACAGTTAAGTCATCATTGGAATACTTTCGCCTTGCTCACCCTTTCTCATGCCCCAAATGGTTGTAGTCTTAAATTTTAGTTTTGCTTCCTTTCACCTCCCCATCCATTGAAATTTGAAATGATACTATTTTGGCTGTTTGACCTGCTATGTTATGATAACAGATTTCTTGCATTAAGTCATCCTTACTTTCTCATTGTATTTCTTAATATTTAGATTTCTGTTTTTAAAAACATTTTTGTCAATTAATTAAGTGAAGGTTTACAGAGCAGATCATCAGTTTTACATTAAACAAATCATGTACTTCGTTTCATTACAATGATCGAAATTCCCTTAAAGTGCCATCAGTTAACAGTACTTACTGCTATGCGTTTCCATTCTTGCCCTCCTCTCTGTGTTCTCCCCTTCTGCCAACCTCCTTTTTGTTGTATATTGCCCACCCTCTCTTCCAAGTTGCTCTGTGGGAGAAATACAAGTTTATGCTTCTGCAAAGATTTAAAGTCTCGGTTACTCTATGCAGTAGTCTGAACTGACTCTAAGGCACTTAACAACAACAGGGTCAATTTGCAACTTTATAAATAATGAAAAAATTTAAAACTCTGAAATTATAAGAATATGTCTTTCTCAGCTTACATGTTTTTAAAATACGGAATATCGTTTATGTATATTTTAAATTTCTTGACTAATTTTTATGCCTTATTTGGGAGAATTCAGAAAATGTTTTTAAACAATGCTATGTGCTGCTGAGTTGGTTCCAACTCATAGTGATCCTGTGTAGGGTTTCTTAGAATGGTTGGTGCATATGAGCTGGCACCTTTTGGTTACCAGTCTACTGCTTACCCTACAGTAGGTGTGAAATTTTATTGCATTGGCTCAGAGACTCTCATTTCACTATAACTTTTACTGTTATTTTACTTCCTTCAAGTGTTTATAAATTTATTTTGCTTATACCTTTAAGGTGACGATTGGTTACGTCATGTTTACTTTCCAAATTTTTATTTGATTGCTGTGCAAGGATGTGCATCACTGTCATACATCTGAGCTTTCCCCAAAATACTTAAGTGTATATCCTTCCTCAGTTTCATTAGATGTAGAGTATACGTGGGCATTTGAACTCTGAGAAGAGTTTATTTAACTGGTTAAGAACCAGTATTACAGTCATAGGGAGTCATCTCAAAATCAGCTAAATGAAGACATAAACTAAAAATAAGGAGTCCATAAACATGAGGGATGTCAAAAAGTTTGTGGAAAAGTTTCTCTGGCATTATTGCAGTGATTATGTACTACCTTCTCATATGCTATCTTTCCAATCCCATTTTTCCATGAACTTTTTAAAGTCCTCTCATACATGATTTATAATACCACAAATATATTAATCTGTACCTGGCCTCATATTTAGGTATAAGGAAGAACTGGAGTTGATGGAAAAATGATATAAAGTCTGATATATACTATTTGTTACAGTAAAAGTTGCTAGATGTTAGAAAAATTACCTAAATTATTTTGTGTTTTTTCAAGTTGTTCTTTATGTTGAGAATAATTTTAGGTCTTTAATGAATTTTACTATATGTGTTTATTTCTTTGTAGGCCTCGAAGCAGAGGAAAAACCACAGTGGAGGATGAAGATAGCATGGATGGACTGGAGACTACAGAAACAGAAAACATTGTGGAAACAGGTATCAAAATTTAATAAGGAATTTTAGGAAATAATGTAGAACAATATACATAATTAATTTTTATTTATGTGCTTAGCTCTAACATTTTCATCTGCCTAAATAGTTTTGTAACTATGATGAACTCTAGTGAAAAGAAATGGAATGTATTATATCTATTCTTTTTCCTTAAGGCTTCATTTAGTAGGAATTACATCTGTGTATAAAATATTTTATTAAGAGTTGTTGCGATTTTAGACATACTGGTAGATTTTCTCTGTGAAGTTAAATGTGAAGTTAAGTGTCATCTCCTTGACCCTTGCAGATTTTAGCATAGTTTTTAGAGAACAGTTGCTTATCACTAAATCTTTTAAGATCAAAATTTTCAGAAAATGCTTTGCTTGTCACATGTGTTGTGGTTTTGCAGCTATTTTTGTTGGAATGCGATCAGATATTTTATATTCACAATCTCTATTTCTAAAAGGGACGAGTTAGAGTGACAGGCATTAAGGTTGGGAATTCTGAATTCTGCATTTCCCCTTTGGAGTTCATTCATTACCATAGTCCTTTAAATTTGACTTTGTGCAAGTTCCATTAATACTCTTTTGTATATTTTTTCTTAGTTTAAAAACATTGCTATCACATTGTACCACATGTTGTCCTTGTGTATTTCATTCTTTCATGGGCATTCTTACTCATTCACTGAAGTTTTAGTGCATGCCTTTCTACTCTCTAAGCCTTCTCCCATATACGTTTTTTAAAATGTTTTATTGTGAATTATGTTTGATATTTTACATGGGAGAACATTAGCTTTTACATTCATCCTATCATGTATCTTTCATTGCCATGGTTACAGTCCCCTCCATGCGTCATCAAACAACCAAAGGGTATAACTGTCAAGCCTGCCCCTCTGTCTTCAGCACACAGACCCTCTCCCTCTCTGGGTCTAGAGTTGCCAGCTGCTCCATCTCTCCACGTCATCGTCTGTGCCTCTGCCTTCCCATATAATTTTTTTTTTTAAGGTTTTTATTGTTGATTGATTGTAAGTTTACAGGGCAGATCATCAGTTTTACAGTCAACAAATCATACACCTTGTTTTATTACAATAATTATTTATAATCCCCTCCATGTACCATCAGTTAACAGTATTTCTCTCTATTCACTTTAGCTGTTTTTTTTCCAACAAAACAAAAAAAACCCCACACTCAGGCATATATAATAATTGACACCTCTAAAGGACACATTTTGCAAGTCAGCCTCCTCCAACTCTTAGTTCCTGTCTTCCCGTGAATCTAGAGTCCTCAGGCACTCCCCCTCTCCATAACCCTGTCTCTGCCTCTGTCTTTGAATAAGTTCCTGCATTCTGCTTGTGCTCTTCTCCTTTAATGGTCCTAGGGGCCTCTGTTTCTGGACTGTAAGATTAACCACTGCCCTGTTTTTGTTACAAAACTTTTACCTTTACAATTGTGACAGTTGCAGTTAGTCATGATGACAGTTATTCACTGTTGAATCATACGAATCTTACCCCCATCTCTTTTCACCAGACCCATCTAGACAAGATTAAAACTATTCAGTGGGGACGCTTTTTCCCCCCTCCCCCAACTCTTAAAACTATATTCCCTCTAGAAACCTTGTAATCCAGTACTTTGTGCCTTTATCGCCCCCTTGTTTTAGGTAGCCAATGTCTTAAGTTGCCCATCCCTATCTACCATGTGTACAGAGGGGATAGCATTGATACTTGAGGTGAAGCCCTTTGCTCTTTATTGGTATTTAGAGTTACTACTTCATGAGTATAGTATAGGTTCATCAAATTGAAGCAATTTGCCCTTGTTTCCTTTATCAATTTTTTTTTTTTTTTTAATCTTCCTCTAGTCGAGTTCTGATTATCAAGCCATGGAGGCTAGGTCAAATGGGTGTACTGTCTGCAAGTTTGGGTGTTCTTGTGCATCTCCCCTCACTTCATAGCAGCCGGATGTTCCACTCTCAGCTCTAGCCCTTTGTGGCTATGTCCTTGTCCATGGGCTCAGATGTCCCCAGGTCTCACCACACTTTGGACCAACCAGCCCTTCCTTTTCTCTCTCTCATCTCCAGGTCAACGGGAGTCAATGGACTGTGGTTGAACTCAGTCCCATTTCTTCATTGCTGCCTTTCTCCCTCTTCTACTCACCAGTAGACCAATGTGGTCGCCAGCAAGCTTACATGCCTGTTCATGTGTTGTTCCCTTTGAGTTTCAGTCTTAGAGGGGAGTTTGCCCTGAAGGAATTTGATTGCTTACCTTGATGGCTTCCCAGCGAACAGCTTGCTTATTCTTGTAGTAGCCAGTCATGCTGTTATTTTTGTTTTGGGTTTTTCCTGATGATCTTTCTTTGAAGATGTATCTTCTTTTGCTCTAGCTGTTCCAGGCTTATCTGCTTGTCCTTACTAGTGGGAATGTCCCACCTCAGAAGGTTCTGAATGGGACTCAGAATTCCACCTAAGGTCCTATACTCTGCAAAGGCTTTGCAGGAGGCCTATTTCATTGGGCAAGTTCTAGAACCCCTTTAGATATTCCAATTAATTATAGGCTGAACACAGGCTTACAAGTTTTCTTTAATCATGTTTCCCAACATTCCTTGCTGCCTTTCCCCCTCTCCCACTCACCAGGAGACCAACGTGGTCACTTGCAAGCTTACATACCTGCTCATGTGTTTCCTTTGAGTTTCAGTCTTGGAAGGGAATTTCTAGTGACTTCAGATTTTATCTATTTACTGGAGTCCTGGTGTTAGACTGCTAACCTTAGGGTTGGTGGTTCAACCCACCAACTGATCCTCAGAAACTTTATACAGGGTCATTATGAGTCAGAACAAACTTGATGGCATTTAACAGCCACATATATTGGTGACTCTAAAATTTATATTGTCAGCTCTTTTCTTTGATTTAAATACCGCTTGTATCTTCTTATCTTTTATAATCTAAAAAGCATCTCAAACTTTTAATATACTTGTTACAGAAAAATTTTTTTGTTATTCTGAATAATAATGTACTCTTACACTGTCCCTATATCAGTAAATTACATCATATAATTATTTAGGCCAGAAATAAGGTGTTTTTCTTGATTTCTCTTATTTAGCATTTAGCCTATTGAAAATTCTGTTGGCTGTACCTTTATGATATATAGTCATTCCTCTGTATTCTCCAATTCTGCATTCTCAGATTCAACCTGCAGCAGCAGGGACGTGGGGGGAGCAAGTAAGCAATACCTGAAAGGCTAGTTGGGTTTGTGAAGTGCTATTTACATAGCATTTATGTTTTATTGTTGTTGCTATTGTTAAGTGCTGTTGAGTTGGTTACAACTTATAGGGACCCTGTATAGGGCTTTCAAGGAACAGTTGGTGGGTTTTAACCACTGACCTTGTGCTCAGCAGTCAAGTGCTTATCCTATAGAGCAATGATTTAAAGTATACAGGAGGATGTGCATAGGTTATGTGCAACTACTGTATCATTTTATTTAAATTACTTGCATATCCATGGATTTTAGTATCCAAGGGGTCAGGAGGGTCCTGAAACCAATCCCCATGGAAACTGGAGATAACTGGAACCTGACTCTAACCATGTCATACTTACTCTTTTACTGTCACTCCAGATTTTACCACCACCACTTTTGTCTGCACTGCTGTAATAGCTTCTAATTGGTATCAGGCTTTCTGTTTGGCCCCATTATGGTCTTATATCCCACCTAAAAGCCAGAACAGTCCTTTTAAAACCCAGTGAAAGAACTTTGGGTCTTTCTGCTGTTGATCTTCCAAATGAATAAGGATGAATAGAATAAAATCTGAGCTCCATATCACAATTTAATATCTCTAATAGTCAAACATTGGCTACCTCTTCAACTATATTTTCTCCAACTATTCCCTTTACTCACTGTTCTCCAGCCATATTGGCCTTCTGGTTATTCCTGGAACATTCTAAACCTATTCTTTTCTCAAACATTTGCATTTTTGGTCATCCTTTGCTTGGAATACTTTTCTCTTACGTTTATATGACTTTTTACTTCAGTAAAGTCTGTACTCCCCTAACCATGTCTGAAAAAGCAACACCCTCTTCTGCTTTATTTTTCTTTCTAGTGTTTAACAGAGAGGACAATTTAATTTGTTTACTCAGAGAAGTTCTATTTTTCTTCCTTGAAAATCATTAGTTAATAGGGCCCTGTAAACGTACCTAATTTTAATTAATTTTGCTTAATTAACTTAATTATAATTTAGGTAATTATAATTAAATTTTTGTTTTTCAGTGTTCAACTTGTCTTGGTTTGAGGGATCCCTTTTCAACTGGTTTCTGAATTCTTTTAATATCTCAAAACTTTTCAAAGCTTAATGATCTTTGGCCAAAATAAGTCTGTTAATAGGCCAGTCTTTAATGGTCTCTGCCCCAACATATGAAATCAACTACTCTCTAGGACTGCTAGTCTTTTCTGTGGAAAATAATATCAAGATAAATATCTAGGCTTTAAGAATGGTTATTATATTATTTCTGTTGAGAATTGATATGTTAGTACACTTTAGTGAATATTCTGTAAAGTACATGTATGTGAGTGAGTTCACATACATATCACTTGTTCGTTAGCTATCACATTACTTTTCTTTTTTAATTTGAGGAATCAGTTATTTGTTATTAAAGATCGGAAAAAATTGAAGTTAATGTATGTCAATAAATATTAAAATAATAAAAGGCTTCAAAGTTTTTTGGAAAAATGGAATTAATAGATAATGACATGTTTCTGAAACTTTTTGAAGTCTCCTTGCATTTGTAGCCCTGGTGGCACTGGAGGATAAGCACACATGGTTGGTAGTTAAAACCCACAAACCACTCTATGAGCTAAGGATGAGGCTTTCTGCTCCTGTAAAGATTTGCAGTCTTGGAAAACCCTGAACAGGATCGCTGTGAATCGAAATTTATTCGATGATAGTTGGTTTTATTTTTTATTTATTTTTTTTTTTTGTGTTAATAGTAACATAGTAGATCTACTGGATTTAAAGTTAAGATTA